GGGGGGGGGGGGGTGGGGGGGGGGGGGGGGGGGGGGGGGGCGGCTTCGGGTAGAACTCAGTGATCAATATGGACTTTCCTGACACCCCCACCCCATCACCCCCTTACCCCCACGTAATTAATTAAATAAAGCTCGGGGCGGTGGTGTCTGGGTAAGGGGGGTGGGGGGAGAAATCTGTGCTTGTTTTGCTGTCGCTGCCCAGAGAGGAGAGGGCAAAAGATGGGATGCTGTGGTTGAAAAGCGTTTTCTGGCTCTTTATGTGTGGTGATGCACACGGTTGGTTGTAGGTAGTGTAGTATCTGTATCCCACTAGTTCCCTGTCAAAGGGTTGTTATGGCAGCAGCTCTTCCCCCTTTTATTTAGCGTCTCTGGCTCGGAGTAATGTCAAAGACCTGCAAACTGCCTTTAGGGGGGGAAAAAAAAAAAAAAAAAAAAGAAAAGAGCAACCTCTTGCCTCTTTGCCAAATAGCCAACAAGTACGAGTATAAGATTCACACTAAATCTTCACTCCCTTCTCCAGAAGCTGGTGCTGTGATAACACTTAAGACTGAAGAAGGCTGGGGAGGAACGTCATTTTTATTTTTCCACAATTCCTGCTTTTTGTTAATTTTTGGTGGTGTTTTTGCTTGGTTTTGTGTTGAGTGTTTTCATGGGCTTCATTTATACTTTTCCCTAGCATTCTTCTCACTTACAGACGGCTGCTTAGCCCTGCTTTACACTGGGTGAAGGGACTCAAACCGTTCTACATACGAGCAACACACAACACTTGAGGGAAGCGAAAGCTTGTAATTCTGTAGATGTAGATTTTCTGTACGATTTACGGGATTGATGAGTTCTCTTCTTGCAGTACAGAGAGGAATCTCTGTAAGACTCATCAGAAAGGTTTCCATCACATCTTAACTGCCACAGCTGGTGGCAGTTTGAAACAGTAAGATTTAAAGGTTATTACGGAAATAAGTTTCTCTTTCACCTGTAATGATCAGCCTGTTCTCAGTCAAACCAAAAATAGTTGCAAGGGAAATGTGCTGATTCTGATTTCAGCGTAGTCAGTAGTGTTTTTGAAAACAGTGTTTAAACTGTGAAGTCTTTGATGAGGATGGACATTGAAAACACATGAAGTTGGTAGAGGGCTATATTATTTTGCAGTTTTCACTGTGCACTTGTACAGGTACCATTTGTTGTTTTTGACTGGAGTTTGCATGACTAGAGGTTGAGCAGTAAATGATAAGGACAGAAGGATTTTGTCCTGGAAGCCCGTGCATTTTTATTTCTGGCAGGATATTTGCAGACTGACAGTGATATTGCAGGCTGAAATGTTACTGAATTGTGATATCTTGTTTCCAATTGTACATTTTGAAATAAGTTTGGCTTATCAGTAGGAAAGCAACGCTAGTGTGTAACTGTTCATTTAAGAATGAAAAAATGTTGTCCCAGGATGACTCCTGTGTTGAAATAGACTAGATTTGGGTTTAATAGGTGAACTAAAATACTGTAGTGTAAGTGATCTATAACTAATTTTTGTTGCTTATATGACAAGAGTGCCTTGTTTTTATTCAAATTGGAACAGAGAGATATCAGAGGAGAGATGAAGAACAGCAAAATATATATATTTTAATGACAAAGTAAACTCTTGAGCAGAGCTCAGATATCTCTGAGGGAATATAAGCACATTTCTTGGTATAACTGTGGTCATGATTCTGATCCCAGCTAAGTCAGGATGGGATTCTCCCCAGACACTGATGTGAGCAGAATCCAAGGCATCTCTGCCAACCATTTTTGAGGAATCAGGATGTGAAAAGATCATTTGTATTTTCCCCCATTGCCATAGCTAGAAGGATCTTTGTGTCTCGTATGGAATATTTCACGCTCTGCCCTTCCGAGCTATACTCAAGCCTATAGTTCTTACCTGCCCAGACAGCACAGCTGAAATAATTCTTGTGAGAAAGAATAATGTATGTATAGCTATGGGCAGTTTTATTGGGCCCTATTAGTTAAATAATAGTCATGTTTACTGGAAAAAGGGTTTGATTTGGAATGATATTTTCATCTGATAACACTAAAATTTCATTGTAGGTGGCCGGGACTAGCATGTTTCTTAAAACGGCATTATTTATTTTATGGTTTTGATATGGAAGGACCAGCTGAATTTAATCAAGCTGGAGGGCAGATGTTTCCAACGTTAGTGTTTTTAAAAATATACTTTGTGACTTAAAAATAACCTTAAATTGTAATGAAGAAAAGACAAATTTGGTCACACTGAAAAGGGTTGCACCTGACGTTGTTTGATATAAATGAATTTGATTTCGATACAAAATTATTTGATACCAATCACTGCACTTGTTTAATATTAGACAGAGGTAAAAGGGAACAAAAAAAAGAAAGCTGGCAGAACCCAGTCATCACAGGAAAATACACAGTATAAACCCTGAGAGGCTATGGCAAAAATTACCCAAGAGGTTCCAGCTTTAAGGGTCTGACTCCCCTATGGGAGTCGAATGGAAAAAAAAACCCACTGACTTCAGTAAACATTAATAGCTGGAGCGTGTTCTAAGAGAAGGGATGGGTAAAGAATATTTGCTTAAGTACCACAAGAATTCTGACAGTTAGTAACTAAAACCGGATTGGAAATGTATGGGTTTCTTCAGTTAGGAGGAAGTCCTGGCTCTACCAAAACTGAATTGGAGTCTTGCCATCGATTTCACTGGGGCCAAAATGTCATCCTGAGAATTATGTTTTGAGTGACTTCTGAAATACGCCGCGTGCTATATTTAATCTGGTTTTAATTTGTGTGATATTCTATTAAAATGAGGTTACCTTTGCCAAGCCTGAGTTATTAATTAGTTATTAGCAATCATTTTCCCTTTCCTTTTACATTTTTTTAAATGTCAGTTTTGCAGAAATGGCAAGAAATACAAAACAATCTTCCTGTTAGAGTGCACTCATACGCTGAATAATTCAAAGCCTGTACTGTCATTGTGCAATCAAATTTTTAATATGATGCTGTCAAAGTCATAAAAAAGGAAAATCAAATGTGACATCATAGAAGACAATGTATATAGCTGACATGACATCCGAATGTTTTAATTTCCCCACTTTATATTTAGTGGTTAATGAAGACAGGCTTTTCTTTCCTCTGAGGAAGCTCCTAATACAACATATTAAATGTTCAGAAAAAAATGATGTGTATATTTTCTTGAAGAGAGATATAACTCTTGTGAAGAAAAGTCCCTAACGTAAAGGAAATGAAATCGTAAAGGAGACAATTTAAAGCCTTCACTGGGAAACATAGAACTGAGATAATTAGTAGCTAAGGAGGAAAACTATTGCC